GTTTCAAAGCATTTCATAAAAAATGTAAAAAGTTACGCCTATATCAATTAAATCGGTCATTTCACGTGTTGCACGTGCACGCTCTTGCAAGCACGTGCGCGCAAAATGACCTTCTTTCCGCAAATCTACATAACATGCCTACTGACCCTAAAAAGGTTTTACCTAAGTCGGATGAACAGTTTACAAGATCACTCCCGGACAAAAAAGTACCCAGGAAGAAGAAGAAGAAGAAGAAGAAAAATAACTAGTGCTAATTGTAACGGGAACCGTTACAGATGTTCCCCAAACGCTCCCCAACTCCCTTTTGGTGCCATATTCCCTGTAAGCCTTATTAAATAAGACAGCATCTGTACATTTTTGTCTTTAACAACGTTTTCCCAAAAGGATACCAATTATATTCAAATTTTAACATTTCACGCGTGCCCATGTGAATGCACGTGCATAATGATCATATAATCTTGTCTACACTTTCTATATATTTAAATATACTTTTTATTAAAGCATTTAGTCCAAAAGTATTAAAAATCACTCATTCAAGTGTATTTTTAATTTCACTCGTTCCAAATGCACGCACGTGCGTGCACGTGCATGATGACCATACCTTCTTGTTAGAGGCCCTTATATCTATCTATGTTCTAAATCCCATCCTGTTTGGTTGAAAACCAAAGGAATTATAGCCATTTAAAGTTTCAGCCAATCAGATTGCAGCACACGTGCATCCACGTGATTTCAAGAATTTTTTTCTAAATCATACTGTAGAATATCCTAATGCATGACTATGTTTTAAATTTCAAAGCATTTCGTCAAAAATCAAAGGAGATATAGCCATTTAAAGTTTCAGCCAATCAGATTGCAGCACACGTGCATGCGCGTGATTTCTTGAAATTTTTTGTATATCAAATTGCAGGATGTCCTAATGCATGACTATGTTTTAAATTTCAAAGCATTTCGTCAAAAAACAAAGGAGATATAGCCATTTAAAGTTTCAGCCAATCAGATTGCAGCGCACGTGCATGCGCGTGATTTCATGAAATTTTTCCATATTATATTGTAGGATATCCTAATTCATGGCAATTTTAAAAATTTCAAAGCATTTCGTCGGAAAACAAAAGAGATATTGAGATTTTTGTTTCAGCCAATCAGAGCAAGGCGCACGTGCATGCGCGTGAGTTCGTGCTAATTTGACAGTGTCATATTATTAACACTATTTATATATCCTGATGTAATGAGTTTCAAAGCATTTCATCAAAAAATGTAAAAGTTATAGCTATATTAAGTATATCAGTCAATTCACTCATTTCACGCGCACGCACGTGCAGGCGCATGCGCGCAAAATGACCTTCGTTCCGCACACCTACACTACACACCTATTAACCCTAAAAAGGTTTTAGCTCAGTTGGGTGAACAGTTTCTGAGAACACTCGCGGACAAAAAAGTACCGGAGAACAAATAAGAAAAAAAATAATAATAATAAGAAACAGAGTAAAAACAATATGTTCCCAAACTCCGTTTGGGGAACATAATAATAATAAGAAACAGAGTAAAAACAATATGTTCCCCAACTTCGTTTGGGGAACATAATAATAAGAAACAGAGTAAAAACAATATGTTCCCCAACTTCGTTTGGGGAACATAATTACAGCCTTTTAACAGTTAAGATTTTTTTTTTCGGACCAGCCCCTCGCTTGGTTTATTCGGCCTCATCCAAATGACCGGTCTTCACGTTCTATAGTGGGATTTGATCCCGTGACCAAGGACGCACTCCCTGTTCCGCAGTTTGGAAGGAAACGCTCTTACCACGCAGGGAAATTGTCTGTTTGGAGAAATCAAACCGCGAATAACAATCTTTTTTCAATATGAAGTGAAAATCTAACGGCATCACTGACAATTCTTTGAAAATGAAAACATTTCCCAATTGGGAAAATGATAAATTGTCTTGAATTTGTTGACTCTAATTATGTGCAAGAATAAAGATGCTCTGTATTCTCATATTTGACAGAGGAGTATTGCAAAATATATTACGTGTTGAAGGGTCCCGAAATCATTTTTATTGGTGTCAGATCTTATGCAATAAATGACAGGAAGTCGTTCTCAATTTATGTTTTCCCGACAGAGGATCCACAGATCTTATTCTCGCGTGAGTTTTTGCGAAGCAAATCAAGAAAATATCTCTCATTTTCTCCCTCGCTACTACACTCTGCATGTCAAATCTCTATTGTGAAAAAAAATTCAATAAATGAATGATACCACCGATCAGAAATTGGCTATCATATGTGGATTTTCAAAGGATGGATCACGTAACGGCCAACTTCTAATTCTCATTTGGTTATTATCTTAACTTGCATGGACAATACAATTTATGTTTACGCCTACAAGTTTTGTATTATAATGCATTCAAAGCAGAGGTAATCCATTTTCTTTTTTCAGCATTTTTATGAAATACCGGTACTCTATTCTGCTTTATGGTGAAGAAATGTATGTTTATGTACTTGACAAGTACATGTATTCCATTAACAAACTAAAATGAATATCATAATGTTTCTGAAATATTATATCCTTTGGTTATCGGTCATAATTCAATACAAAAATTAGAACATTATGTTTTAGCTTATGTAAATACCGTAAGCTATTAGCATCGATGTGAACACCAAAAATCATTATTTTTGCTACATACATTTTCTCCTTAACATCGATGATAGTGACTGCGAGCAAGGACACTTCCAGTAGGATTCAAGCATGAAGTGATAAACCTTGATAAGTATATAAATTTTTGCTTGAGAGGATTCCAATTAAATGTTTCCACGCGGTAGCTTGTGGTTAATCCAGTATCATGAAAAGAGAAAAAAAGTCAATGCTAAACATGAGGATATTAAAACAATTTTTAGAAGTTACGTAAGAAGCCTTTCATTCTACGTGAAGGTTACATAAGTATACCAGTCATCAAAAAATGATTTAAAATCTTATAAAGAACACCAACATTTTTAAAAGTGGTTATAAGGCCTACAAGTTGGGGATTGGCTGTCAAAATTCCCATGGGTACCAATTGCGCCCCGTTATACACATTCATAATTTTGTATTTATATGAAGCAAAAAATATATTATTAAAATTATGAGAGTAAGAAAATACGCTGTTGCCTTCAACTTGACAATTAGAAATATCGATGGCATATTATCAATTAACAATATTTACTTTCATTCATATACCGACTCGTATCTCAGTGAACTTGAAATATAAAACTCTGTCTAAAACAACTCTTTTCTCTGTGGATTTATTACTACAGCAAAATAGATTTATTACTACAGCAAAATGTTATAATGGTAACCCAACGACAAAATTTACGATAAACGTGATGACATTTACTTTTCTGTTTTCAACATTCCGTTATTTATGTAACTACTTACCCCTTATCACCTTTGTGTGGGGTTTATGTTTCCAAATTGATTCAATACGCGAGAGAATGCTCTACTTTCGATCTAATAAGAAGCAAACTATGAACAAACAAGCTATTGAAACAAGGATATCAATAACTTTCGTTTAAAGACATTATTTCGACAAGTTCTATAGTCTATACAATGATTAAGTCATTGTTTTACACAATAAAATGTCTGCGGATTGTTCCGATTGCTCCCTCATGACAAGGGGCACGCGGTTGCCGGTTGTAACTTGTCAACAGGGGAAGCTTACTCCTTTATGACACCTGATCCCACCTCTGATGTTTTTAGCGGTCCTTGTTTGCTGCTCTGCTCGCGTTTTGTATTCTTTCAATTAATTTTTGAGCCTGAGGTTGATAGTCTATCCATATTTCACTGAGCACCATAAAATTTGAATGCCTAAATTTTAAAACCTTTTTACGTCAATAACTTATCATGCTAATGAGTATTACTCTAGTCAAGATTTATTCTTCATTAAGTAACATAGGAGCCACTAACTGGAAAATATTTACTAATCAAGAACTGTTTTCGCCATTTAAAGCTTTCTTAATCATGAAACGTATGAAGTAATCATTCGTGGGATCATTTGAATGTTCCTTTTAAACTCTTTATAATTTATTTTGTCACAAATTGATAGGTCCTTGACATTTAAAAAATGAACATCAGTCATAAGAATTTTTGGAACAGGATTCCCACACTGTTCAATTCTACATTAGAAAACAAGATTTGAGCGAGATATTCATATAACCGTAATTTATATATATGTCTGCCAAACAGTTCTGACAAGCATGTGAAATTACAATATGCTCGAACAATCAACCCCTTAAAAGCTAGTTCCTCTCTTCCGAGTACCCAGTGTTCTTCTCAATATTGGCTCTTTGTTAAATCCTGATTACCCCTAACCGTATCAACTCTCCCCGGCCTACTCTAGAATGTTTATGTTGTGTAAGACAATTAAAAACGTCCAAACCGAATCATTTGACAATTCAGTGGCTTGTGTAAATATTTACCAAAGATGCCATTAAACAGGATCCTAATGGCTCTATAGAGCGTGCCGGGGGGACCTTGTGCACTATCTGTCACAGTCATTTATCTTTACAACCCTCATGCGACCACCCTGAGTACGTCACCAGTAAACTCAGAAAGGACTCAATAGGGTATCCTAAAAGGCTCGTATAAAGCAAATCTTTGCATAAAGTAATATAGTGACCCCATTGCAGTACTGCTTCTGCATGTTCAATGTTTATCAGCAATTTTAAGGTGCACTGTGTTATCAACTAAAATAAGTATAAGATGACGCCTTAAGCTGTCAACTTTGGGAATGTCTTCAACAATACACATTTATTTTAATAAAAAGATTTTTACTTTTAAAATTAATTTTTCATTTCTTTTTCGCGTCAGCAACAGTTGATAGACATTGAGAGACAGACATTGATCAAATGTATTTAAGCGGATAGCCTTTCTTTTTGATAAATATAAATGTAAACAAAATAAATGAGGGATCTGGTAAATTTTAAACACCAACCATAACATTTTGTACAGTGGTTAGAGGTGCGGGGGAGAAATTTAGCGTCCCTGCCTACTGTAAGTGCTCGACCAATCGTGTAGGACTTAAAGCCTCCCGCTCACAGGAACTAAGGATCAATATTACCGCAGAATACATAAAGTCTGGACAGCAACTGTCAGTCAATGAGCAGGTACTATAGTATATTATTGGAGTTATCAGCGCGCATTCCGTTATCAAACAAAAATACCAAAGTGTGAATGGGGATCAACGTGTTAGATTGCAACCTTTTTATATCGATACACGGCTGACCTAGGTGTGAGAGAACCGATATACAACCTTCACAATGGGTTAAATTAGTGGTATGCTGATAGCTTTACGGGGGAGACGTCCAGGTGTTAAATCTCTGTGTTCCATACCATTTCATTTCTTAATTATGAATAGTGTTGGTTTTAAATGATATGAGATGGAACGTTTACAATTTGCAAGGAATCATATATCCATACCACTGGTGATGAATGTTCTTTGCCAAAATTTTCAGCACAGACATTTTTTGCAAAATTCAAGTCATGGATTTTATCAATTAATTCAAGTGAGAACACAAATGATTTCTCAGTACCGGAGCAGGATATGAGCGGATATGCTGGGTGTTATGGCATCAAAAACCATCAGGAAAATTCGAAGAAAGTCGTGGTGCACCTTCGTTTCTGCAGTGTGCTCTCTTGTCGTACTGTGTCTCTTTAGTATCAATAATCAACTTTTGTCTTTTGAAACTTGGGATTCCAAAAAAATTCCCTCCACTAAATTTTACTCAATGCCTCTGGAAATGGGACATCATTACAGAAACTTACAAAATGTCATACATTATGGTAATGTAAGTCAAATCCAATCTGGGGTGATCAGCGAAGGAACATCATTCAAAAAAGTGTTCACAAACGAAGAGGCAAGGGGGAATACATTGACAGAGGAAGAAAAAGTCTCCGGAAAAACAGACAAACTATCATTAAAGGACAAGGAAAAGGAGAGAAAACGTCGCCTTCCTCAAGCTATAATTATAGGAGTGAAAAAGGGCGGAACCCGTGCCTTGTTGGAATTTCTACGTGTCCACCCAGACGTTAGGGCTACTGGTCCAGAGCCGCACTTCTTTGATAAACACTATCACAAAGGGCTTGATTGGTACAGGTACGCACTGTTTGCATTTGTTATATCACTTCTTACAGAGCATTTTCAAACCTTGGTCAAAATGATTTTTTAATATCTGTTGAAAGTTAAGCTATAAACCTCGCTTAAAGTCTTTATGTTTTATTGAGGTCTTTAGTCCATAATCCCAAGAATAAATAAAGTTCCTTTGACCAAAAGCGAAATTGCTCTTTTCACAGCTATTTGAAACTAGGTTAGTGTAGAAATCGGTGCTAGAACCATTTAACACACACACACACACTCAAGGACAATAAATTAATTTTGGGCCATATCCTATTTCAAGTTCAAATTATTTTATACGGAAAAAGAATAAATCAAAGAGATGGGTGTAAGAAAGCAATTTATTCCTTTCCTTACCATACCTACTATTAATTACTTTCTTGCAAAGTTGAAGAGACAATTTTTTATAACAATGTCTGTGTTTTTACCACCATTTAGCCACTACCCTGGTAAGTTTAAGGTTGGCCGACATGCCAGTTCTGTTTGTGGAGAACAATAAAAGTTAAATGAAGTCATTTGGATGAATGAATTTGAAAGCAAAAGGGAGTGAAAATTCGTATTAACATAGGATTGACAAAACCAGACTGGTTCAACTAAAAATTCTGATACCTGTCGACGTTGTCCTCTGTCGGTGATATTACTTTCTTGTTTTTTCACATTCCTCGTTAAATATGCTCCTTTTCCGTAAAAGCAACCCAGAAAGTTAAAGTTCTTTACTGAAAAACGAGGTCAATCCTTCTTAAGGTTATCTCCCGAAAGACAACTACACATCCACATAGACAAAGCAAACATTGTTATAGTAACTTCGAATTACAAGTACATGTAGTAAATCCCTATGTTTTTTCTTCTTCTATTAATTTAAATAAAAATCATTCCCTTCAACAATTATTGGAACATACAAATTGTGAGACTTTTTTGCCAGAGTCAGTTAAGGTACATGTGTACATCAATTATTGACGTATAAGAGAGCATGAAAATCTCTTCCCTCTGTGCATCTTTCTGATACAAGAATGCAGATGGCCACTTAATAAAGATCCAAGAAATTGTAATTCGATCTTCTTTGTTGATTACCTTTTGTGTAAAAACCATATATTGTCACCATCTTCTCATTTTCCTCCAGCGGAAATGATTTATCTGTCTCTTACATGTATAATTACCATGTCTGAAATGAAAGCTTAAGGCTTATATATCCATATAAAAATTGGTTATACCATAGAGGGTTTTTTTTAATACTCAAAAACTATATAGAGGATATTCAGTTTTGTAGCTGGATAAAAAATATTTCATGAGCAGGGCAGATATTTTTGGTATTTTCACGGTGCGCAACACGAGTGAATACATTTTTTTTTAAAATCCTGTCTCACGATGAAATAAATTACATACATTTTTGCTAATAAATAACATTTTCTCTGATCTTTTCTTTGCCTTTTCGTTAGAAATTGTCATAGACTGTGACATCATTATTGAGTGTTTGAAAAGTCATAGCTTAGCGATAGCGAGACTGAAACTTTGTCAACTGAATTTGAACAATATATATTCTGAGAAACTTTACAGTTTGAGTCTATGTCAGAGAGGTTTATTTTCTCTATCTCGTAATGGGTATGGATAAACCCTTTTCCCAAAATATGCAGGGTCAATGCGACTCAGGCGAACGCTGTGGCTAACGGGACTCCTATTCGTCTTCCCTCCTTTTGAATTAAAACATTGCATTCCCTCCCCCTCTTTTGGTTAAAATAGACTCGAGCTGATAAATTCGGAAACTAATCAAGAGGTGTCACACAACAAGTTGATTAGGATGCAATCTATATTTGGTGTTATATACGTTTGCATCTGTCGAAAAAAAATTGTCGGCAACAGTCAGTCGAGACAAATTATATGAACTGTGTATGGCTACATGACATACATTTACTGAAATATCAAATTCTTCAGGCCTTTTTTGTGCTTAAAATTGGCTTGGTTTAGTTTTTTTATGTAGCAACTTTGGAATTATTAGTTGACATTTTCCATAATCTGACATCACATTGTAAATTTTTATATGATTTCTTTTATACCTGATATACTTAGTAAATCACTCATATACTTAGTATTTGGTAAATATAGCTTTCTGAGTCTTTTCTCTAATAAATTGAAAACTATCAATTCCTTTGTTACCTTTAAAAGATGTTTTCATTCAACGGTTGTTTGTTTGATGTTGACCTTCTTCTAACTTAAAAGCAAGCTTTACAGCAGGCTTTAAATAGATTTCTGTTTCTCATTCTGCAGGATTAAGAACATACACTAAATATACAACAGGGACACTTGCATTAGAAATGAATACCCAGTAAAACCCTTTGATTGTCTGGAGGATTCTCCAAGCAATTACTTGTTTTAATAAAATGATACACAATTGGTCTTTGAAGACACACATGCTTCCATTAGTGCTAACCTTTCTTGTGATCTTTCGAGAGGAAAATGCATTTGGTAGCATCCAGTGTTTAAATTAGGAGTAGTCTCGAGTAGAAGATGCTCTAATGATACGAAACGCAACACATTCAAGCTTTCATGTGTTGATGTCAATATATATCTGTAATCTTCAGCACTCTAGATCTGAAACTTATAAATCAGAAGAAACGAAAGGCTTTTAAATCCGTGAAACCTCTTGGAAATTACGTAAAGTAGCAAAAATCATGTTACTTGTAGCTCTTTTTGATTCTTTAACATTAAACAAATTGTTTTTCTACATTTTCAGAATGCTTATGCCAGAAACGATGCCAAACCAGCTCACAATAGAGAAAACCCCGAGTTATTTCGTTACAAAGGAGGTGCCGTCAAGGATTTTCAGAATGTCTAATTCAACCAAGCTTTTAATAGTGGTCAGGGACCCGGTGACCCGTGCCATTTCAGACTACACCCAAATTCTTAGCAAACATGGTGGGAAAATCAAGTCATTTCAAAGTTCTGCTTTCTTGAATAACGACACTACAAAAATTAATACGTCATGGATTGTGATAAGAATTGGTTTATATGTCAAGCATCTAGAGAACTGGTTATCTGTGTTTCCTTTGAAACAGATTCATTTTGTTCACGGTGAGAACTTAGTGACGAATCCGGGGGAGGAAATGAGGAAAGTACAAAAATTTTTAGGATTAAAACAATTCATAACAGAGCAGCATTTTATAATGAATAAAAGTCGAGGATTTCCGTGTATCAAGAAGAAAATAACCAACAAAAGGGGACACTGCTTGGACGACACTAAAGGGCGTAAACACCCACAACTGCCAGAAGAGGTCACATCCTCTCTCAGACGTTTTTATCGTCCATATAATGAAAAATTTTACCAAGTCACAAATATAAATTTTAACTGGACGTAACATTTGATATGCCATTTCATGTTTTTTTCTGATACTGAAATTTCCCATTTATTTCATCGACAACCATGTACCGATTCCAAGTGGAACACATAAAGTCGATATAAGGATGTGTTGTAACAGTGTAAAGAACGATATTTGTCTAACGGGTTAGTACGTGTTGTCCTTGAAAATAATCTCTATAAACTTGCAAGCTTCTTTCGATTAATTTGATCTAAATGTTAGAAAAAAAAGCATTTCAGTTGATAAAAGATAACGGTATTTAATTTCAAAAATTGAATCCAGGTGCAGTTGTATTTATTTGAAATAAGAAAGCATAAATGATAATTATTACATAATCATACATTTTTTTTATTTACAGGCAATGGATGTAATTGAACGTGAAAAGAAAGCGTGTTCTGGCCATGTATGTTTCATGCCAACAGACACGGAGTGATGCTTTCAACAAATTTACAGACCGGAAATGAACCAATGAATGAAAATAACAAGCCTCATGTTTGATTTGAGTAATAGATATGTTCTTGAGGCATTTGAACAAAAAATCAATTGGGAATTTTGATTTTGTTATTTTGGAAGTGAAAAGTGTTTTTAATAAAATGACCAGCATTTTTTTAAAACTCCCTTTTACTTGTTTGTTAGTAGGGAGTTTGATTGGCTATTATATTACTTCGATCTACAAAATCAGTTTGTATAGAAATTTCCCTTGCATTTGAGAACGTTTTTAAAACCTAACTGTGGTTTGACATTGCTAAAATCTGTAAAATTCAATAAAAAGATAGTTTGCACTACACATTTCTTAAGGGAAATATCTGTTTTTGAAAATATCTGTTTAAGTAGGATATTTACCACAAAATTAAAGTTGAAGTAAAAAATGTTTAGGCTTAGGGTTGTTCTATTTATTTTTGAATTTTCGTTATTAAAGATAATTCCCTTTAAATGAAGCTTAATGAATGCTTTTACTAACTAAACGACATGGAATTCGATTCTTTTTCTTACTTTATAATTTTTTTTAATATCTAATGAATGTTGTTTTAACCATTTGTGTGATAATTATTAAAACCATTGAATATAGGTCGTCTTTGAAGAGACACGAATAGTGCATGTTTCGCGATACTACTTTGATACACACTTTCACAGGTACTTGTGGACAGGACCCCCCCCCCCCTCCCAATATACACCCCTGGTCAAAATATTTTTTTTTCTTTTTTTCTCAAGAATTATGTTTCTAGTACTTATTTACAATGTATTCCATATGAAAAACCCAAAAAATAACATAGATTTAACGATTTACGAAAAAAGTCATACCAGGGTATTATAAAATAGAGAAGGTAAGTCACTTCGGGTTGTTAATTCGGACCCCTCTTGAATATCGGGCCTAAAATATCATATACCTATTACATGTCACCAAAATGTCTAGTCATGCCTTAATTCGGTAGAGGTTTTTGTCGTAAATCGTGCCATTTTATCAACCAAACATTATTCTGTTATCCCTTTATTAACCGTCAAACGCCAAAAATCCAGAAATGTCAAAGCAGAAATTACGGAAGTGACGAAAAAACGACACCTCGTAGTAATTTACTACAGGAACGATAACTCCACTTCTGTACTCGGAGAGTTCCGAATGTAATAGAACCAAAGGAAAGAGCCGAAATTTGCGAAAAAAAGTACGGGAAATAAAAATGGACGACGATCAACGAAGAGCATTTGAATTGGCAACTTCTGGACATAACTTGATAATTACTGGACAAGCCGGGACAGGAAAAACTTTTCTTGTCAAACAAATTGTAAGGTATTTAAGACAACTGAAGAAAAATGTTGCTATTGTATGTTCTACCGGTATCGCCGCGACTCATTATGGTGAATTAAGGGCACAGACATTGCATAAATGGGCCGGGATAGAGGATGGCAGACACTTGAACGAAGAAATAATACACTTAGTAAAGACTGATGAAAGGTTCAATGTTGCTAAGAAAAATATTGAAAATGCCGAAATACTAATTATTGATGAAATTTCCATGATTAGCGCAAAAATCCTACATCAAGTTCAGTTACTTTGTAAAAATGTCAGAAATTCAAAACTCATCTTTGGCAATATCCAGGTGATACTTGTGGGAGACTTTTATCAACTCCCACCTATTTCAAACGAACTTTTTGGAGATCTTGGAAATCATTGCTATAGATTACCTTGGTTTGAAAATTATTTCCCACACAAAATTAACTTAAATATTATCCACAGACAGGAAGATCAGCTCTTGATTCAATGTATTAATGAACTTGAAATTGGAAATCTCTCAGAAGATTGTGTTGCATTTCTTCTTTCTCTTGATAGACCAATACAAAATGAGAAATCATGTGTACACTTATTTGCTAGAAATTTAGATGTAGACTTGTATAATTACAACAAATTGCAAGCACTTCAAGGGGAGTTAAAGGTGTACAAAGCTGAGGATGAGGGCTCTCAACACTATCTCAACAAATTTCTGGCCCCTAAGAATCTAGGATTAAAACTTGGTTGTCCTGTTATGCTGATTAAAAATTTAAGTGACACATTAGTGAATGGACTTTGTGGAACTGTGACAAATTTATGTAATGATTCTGTAGATGTGAAATTTATGGAAAATCATAGTACACCAATTACAGTGTCCATTTCAAGAGAAATTTTCACAATATTTGACCCTGTGGATAAAATTGTTTTGGCGAAAAGAGTACAAATGCCCTTAAAAGTAGGATTTGCTATGACAATACACAAATCCCAGGGAATGACCTTGAAAAATTTAGTTATTGATTGCACAAATTGTATCCAGCCTGGGCAACTTGGAGTTGCCATAGGCAGAGCAGTATCTGTTCAGGGTTTGAAAGTAATAAACTTCCATAAAAATCTATGCAAAAAACATCCAGGTCATGTATACAATTTTTACGACAGTTTTTCAATTGGCATTGTGAAATGTGATCTAAGTTGTTGCAGGGATAATGTTGACATTAGTACTCTGACAGCAGATACTGGTCATAAATCTGAAGACACTGATGATGCTATCGAGTCAAAAGTTTTGAATGAGGATTCAGAATTTTCTGATTCAGAGATTGAAGAATTAGAATTCATAGACAATATTCTTAGTGATCCTGGTCAAAATGCACTTCCTGATCAGTTTTCACAATCAAAACTCATTTTGGACTCTGCAGTGCAGAAATATTCTGACACACCAGTAGAAACAATTATTTTCAGTTTCAGGGATGCAATCTGCAAAAGTTATAAATATTTTGATGACTGGTTTCATGAGCAATTTTCAATAATGGAAGACATAGGACTGAATACTTTTCCTGAAGGGGAAATGTCTTTTTCTCAGAAGCATAGAAATGATTATTTTATTAGATTCAACAAGTATCTTAACTCAGATGATTATGAAAAAAGTGCAAAAACCTTGCTTAATTATTATGAGCAAAATTCTGAAGGGCCAGCATTTCAGCTTTTAACTGCAGTTATGTTTCAGATAGAGAAAGAATTTTTTCTTCAGCTTTCTTCCTATCTTCAGTTATCTGCCCCTGAGCCTGTAAAAAAGCTAACTGTTCAGTCTGACCTGGAAATGGACTCTGCAGGAAAAGGGAAATTAAGGTACATAAGTGGATACATATTAGCCAAATTGAAACATACTTTGTCAAAAAAAATCAGAAATATATTATTCACCAAAGGTAAAGAAACAGAGTTGTCAAGATTTCAATCACAAATGGAAATTCTCAATTCATTGTGTACTTCATTTGATCATTTAAATGCTACAGCAGTAGAGCCGGAGACCCTACTTGAAGTTAAACACAGACAAAATGACAGAGAGAGTCTCACTAATGTGTCTGATTTGACCTTTAGTTTTTTCCAAAAACTTGAATTACTATGCCGTGAAAAACTTACTCATGATAAGCTAGTTGATGATAGAAAATATTTATTCAGTTCTATTAAGGGAGAAATACTCGATAGTTCTTATATTTTTGACACATGGATTCAGTGTGTTGCGAAGTCGAGAAATCAATTGAATGAAAATCAAACTGAAGATATTTCTGATCTTTTGTCTTCAATGGTCATGACCTGTGATAGTTACACAGAGATTTTCCAAGCAGTTGTCTCTTTATTCCTCAAAGTAAATTTAAGTCAGTTTCGAAGAGATTTCTTAACATTTTTGAAAAAAGAGAAGAGTGTCGCACTGCGTAAAAAGGTCATGAAAAGGTCAAAAACAGTTGTGAAAACTTTCAACATGAAATTTTTCTCAGAAGATGACTCTAGCAATAAAGAAGTTTCATTATTAAGGTTAAAATCTGAACTTTTACAAAATGAAAAATTCTTTACTGAACATTCATTTACCAAAAAGGATTTGATCTCAATATGTCAGCATTTTAATTTGAAAGCTACTATGAAGCAAAAGAAGGATGATATCATAAAAGTGCTTGTCGATGGAATTCTAGAAAATGTTCATGCATCCAATCAATCTGTACTTGACACTGAACAGGCAGGACCTAGTAACTCTCAACCTTCGTATGCTGATCTGACTCCCGCTGGCTCTGTATCATCTGGACCTGGCCTTTCACCACAACCTAGAGAAAGAGGTAAGAGAACATCAAGCAAAGGAAAAGGTAAAGGGAAGGGCAAAGGAAAGAAAAGAAAAACATCTGCTGACAGAGATTTGAACATGACAGAGGAAGATCTTACTAGGTATGTCATCTGGTCTGAAATTTATTAACTCCAAATTTAGGTGCAGAAAATATTTAAATGTTTCTAATGTTAATTTTAATGTTAATTCAGTGGATTTTCCATATGAAAATTCTGTTTTTTGTAATGTCATAATTTTACAGAGAAAAACCATTGGAAAAAATATTTAACATTTTCTCAAGAATAGTAAATGCATGATTAGTATTTGTTGTGGAAGCATCTCTCTGGTAGTTTATATTCAAGTTTTCTCAAAATAGGGTGGGACCAACAGAAGTGTCAGATCAAAGTTGCACATAGGAGCTGGAGAGAAATCCTGATTAAGAATTAATAGCAAGACCAGTGAGTCAGGTGAGGATTGTAGCCCATGGACCTCATGTTATAATTCATGTGAGAAATACTAGTACTGTATACACAAAAGAGGCCAAGTCTTCTGTGACAGTATTACATTGATAGGTTGGCCATTATCTATATCAAAAATTAAAAAATATCTGCAAATTCATTACTTAGATAAGTTTCTATTTACACTGTATATGTTTCTATGATGTACCTAAAATTTGTCTATAAATACTTTTTATGATTGATTGTGAAATACATGTATAATAATGTACTTTATATTATTTCAGAAACCTTTTAGTATGCCATATCTTTCCTTCTGAGCTTCTTTTTGGATGTTGTTCTGGCAATTCAGCACCTCCCGAGGCTCCCCCAGTGTTTGATTTCCTCGATACAGAGGCGTGTCCTAGAATAACAGAATTCATTGTGTTGCAGTATCCTAGGTAGGTAGGATTGGTATTAGCCCCATTATGTAGTGTCCTCTGTTGACAAAAAACATTTTCTATAACATCACTGTTTGTTCTTGATGGAATAATGGAGGCATTTGATTTTTTCAGTTTGTAAAGACAGAGCTCCTCAAAACCAAGCACAGATGATATAATGTCTTGTCTAGTCTGGTGTGAAATTAAATGCTTTTCTTTATTTTTTATTGTTTTGTTGTTTTTTATGCTATTCTCCCACTGTACGAACCAATCCATTGCATCATGATTTTCTTTCAAACGATCATCACTTACATCAGTGACAGGTCTAGTATCTCTGAAGTTTTTAATGAGGACACTAGTACATTTTAGGAGTTTAACTGTCACATCCAGTTGTGACCCTTCTGAACCAAGACTATCTTGATAAAGTTCCATGAGATGTAGCATATTCCCATCTAGTACATCCTCAGCTAAGTGATTCCTCATTTTGGCCTCAGGTGTCATAAACAAGTGTTCTTGGGATAATTTATGGTGTACTGGAAATGCATGAGATGATATGTCCCATATATAAGCTTTCCTAAAATGATTCCACTCAATGTACTTATCACCGAGCATTAAATGTCTCTTGCAGCTAGCATCAGTACCACTTTTCAATATGTTATTGCGAATTTTTTTTATCACATGGGAGATGTCCATTATGAAAAAAATTTGGGGGTTATCTAGACAATATATGTTTTTGAATGAGCAGGTTACTGGGTTCATTGTGCTAAATTCTGGTAGTAAAAGATTGAATAAGTCTCTGTTGGACTGAGCCCCATCGGTACTTATATACTGTATTTTAAAACCAAAACTTGATAACATATTCACGGATTCCCAAAGCAACAAGTAAAGTTCATGTCCTGAGGCTGTAGTTGAGGGAAAATGGGCAAATGGGAATCTGAACCCTGTAAACCCCAAAAACAGGAGTTGGAGGGCATGTGTTGCTAAAGGTAACTGTCTTTTACTTGACGAGATCTGGTTAAAAACAATGGACTCAGGAGTGCATTCTGAGAATCCAATTAATTGAATTTCACCATCTTTTTTCTTGAATTGTAGATCTGATTGAACAGACATTTCGTCAAATATTAGGCCGCCCTCTAACCCCTCTGGTGGAATTTTCTTCAGCTGGGCTTCATTCCTCATCCAATGAAGCACTTCTTTAGAGAATCCTGCCTCTTGATGAACTTCATTTTTAACTCTTTGTAGGAGTTTTTGAGAGGGAAGAACCAAAAACTTGCTATTTCTTAAATCTGTGTAACCACGAGGGCTTCTACACCACAAATTTAAACATAACCGAACTACATCCCTATTCCACCTTCTCCCATTGGGATGTCTATCAAGTGCTATTTTTTGTGACTTTAAAAATGTTTTCATTTTGTTAGTACAATCAGGAAAAATTTTGCTCAACAGTTCAGACATGTCTTTATTGTCTGCTTCACACAATGTAACTGTATTATGCAAATCATCACTTTCCACACAGAGTTCACTTGGATTGCGTCTGCAATTATTTGTATTTTTGAAGAATGATTTTTTTTCAACGTTTGATTCAGACTGTTCTTCATTTTTATCAGATTGATATTTAGTTGATCTCTGGAGTTTTTTACAAAAGGTACAGATAAATGACATATTTGTTGCAGCTTGAATTGGTAAAACATTTATACAGTTTTTTGAGCGGAAGCAAATACTGCTGAAATTTTCATCACCAACTTTGGACAAGTGCTCTTCAAAAAAGGTAGTTTTCTTTTTATTTTCCCCAATTTTCTCAGCCCCTTTGCAAAAAGAAAGGTGTCTTATAATTTGGAATATTGTGCTGAAACTGTAATGTTCATTTTGTTCATTGATGCCAAGACTTGCTGGTTTAATAGTTCTTCCACGAATATTCATATGCCAAATTTTATCACTTTTCAGAGAAATTTCAATCATTACTTTGTTATTGTTTATTATGTCACCAGTAAAATGACCTAATTTAATACAGTCTGCAGTCTTTGAAAGCAAAAAAAAATCTTCTGGGATAATTGAACTTATTTCACTGAAAGGAACATCAGACAGTGGGGATTTTCTCCACGAGATTCCCAAATATCTCTTTGTCAATTTTGACCAGTCATCTTTTGAGCGAACTTGTATTATTGTGACATTTTCAAATAACCTCTTTATTATATTTCCTACTGCAAGACCAGTCACTGTAGCCTTGAATTTTGTTATAATGTCCTGTAAATCAACGTATTCAGTGCCTGTGGAAGCTTCAAAATTTTCTAGTAACCAGATGTATAAAGAAGAAATATTTTTTTCACTCATTTTGAATACCTTTGCTTAATTTCATCTCTTTCCTTATTTTTTGCGCTTTAAAACAACCGCCGAAATATTTCCCGTACTTTTTTTCGCAAATTTCGGCTCTTTCCGTTGGTTCTATTACATTCGGAACTCTCCGAGTACAGAAGTGGAGTTATCGTTCCTGTAGTAAATTACTACGAGGTGTCGTTTTTTCGTCACTTCCGTAATTTCTGCTTTGACATTTCTGGATTTTTGGCGTTTGACGGTTAATAAAGGGATAACAGAATAATGTTTGGTTGATAAAATGGCACGATTTACGACAAAAACCTCTACCGAATTAAGGCATGACTAGACATTTTGGTGACATGTAATAGGTATATGATATTTTAGGCCCGATATTCAAGAGGGGTCCGAATTAACAACCCGAAGTGACTTACCTTCTCTATTTTATAATACCCTGGTATGACTTTTTTCGTAAATCGTTAAATCTATGTTATTTTTTGGGTTTTTCATATGGAATACATTGTAAATAAGTACTAGAAACATAATTCTTGAGAAAAAAAGAAAAAAAAATATTTTGACCAGGGGTGTATATTGGGAGGGGGGGGGGGGGTCCTGTCCACAAGTACCTGTGACACACTTTAAATGCTTTACATCAAAGTCCAAATTCTACTTGCAGAGTTACGTAGCATCAGCGTTAATATGCAGTCTTTCATCATAAATATTTGATCTAGATATGCAAACAATTACATAATCCACGTAAATTGGATGGTCACTTGAAGTGGGTTTTACGAGATGGAGTGATTGTTGAGAACTCTTCATATATTCCTTTCAAAAGACATCTCTCTTTGAATATTCTAACATTTCAAGTAAATATTGTCAATATTTCATAAGTTGCTGGATTAATATTTGAAAAGATTTCTATAAGCCCTCTCATAACACTCTCAGCAGGTTGCCCCTTAATGATAAAAGTAAATTACCTCAGATCGAAATGAGAACCCTACGCTACCAATACATTTGTTGACATAAATGGCTTTCTCTTGTCAATAAGGATCCATTATTCTAATAGAAAAAAATTACTACGTTAGACTTTTTTCCCCCCAAGATTCATCATATATATAATTTTGGGATCGGTGTTAGGTCAGCTTTAATATAATTTTTCTTTGCCCTCCTCCGACTCAGGATTAATGTTTGGGGTCGGTAGTTTTTCCTTAGAAAACATCATTGTTGAAATTTTAAATGCATAAATATAGTTTCCAAAATGTTCATAAAATTTTGACTCGAGCCATTTTAACCAGCCGGTTGGAGATAGCAACAGTAGCAAAACATTTCTTTAAAGGTGGTCTTACTAATGAAATTATGGTAACATCATATTACGGTTTATCTACATATTTTGGAAGCAGAAATCCAAGCAGTTTGTATGACGTCCCTTAGAGAAAATTTTCAATCAAACTGAGAAGCCGGTTCAGGACTGCAAATCTAGACCTGCACTCGGTACTTCCGATGAGGGGTCATTTTCAATCGCTCCCACCATAGGCACTTAGGAGCTGGAAACCCCACCTCCTACTTTTCATACCCCGCTTGGAAAGGAGGAGGGTATAAAGTGATCTGGATGCCTATTATAGGGATCACTATTATAGTGACCCTCCCAAAAACATTATGACTTTATTATACCATTATACCTTCGATTTACGTCGCTGCTTTTCTGTCGCTCATTTCGGGTATTATTGTATTTTATGCTTTTTTGTCGTGTTAGAAATGGTATCCGCTATTATACCATACATGTATAATCTATTATAATAATCCTATTTCTAGGCAAGCGTATGTTCTTTGAAAGATATTTTCATGAACGATCTCCAACATTGACGTCGGAATGAGAATTAAAAGCTGGTTTCGCACCGTTGAAAGGTTAATAAAAAAAAAAGTATACCAAGAATAGTTGTGAAATACATCCAATTTTATAGGATATCATTCTGGAAGCGGGAGAAAGCTAAAAATACAAGAAAAAATATCAAAATTGAGCGACAAAAAGAGCCGCGGTGTAAATCGAAGGTTTTTACAAGGTTTTGGATCTGTAGCTCTCTGCTTTATTTGTCCGAGTTTTCTCAAGCTACAGTTTTGCAGCTATAGTCCCCTTTCTCATCCTTGTCGCAAAGTAACTTAGTATACGAAGCATAACAGGGACAGCCTGGGGAACCAAAGAAATAGGCTATCACGCTCCAATCGCATCATCTCCAAAGGCGGATCTATGGTCGGCGCGCCGGGCGTGCCCCCCCCCCTCCCCCGTTTGAATTTTTTTTGTATAAAAATTCATATGTCCATTATCCTAAAATCAAGGAAAAAATATTTTATTTCTAAGAATTTTACAGTTGACCCCCACCTGGGCCTTGCCCTAGACCCACTTGGGGCTTCAGTGCAGCCCCCTCCCTGAATCCTTTATCCCCCGCTACGAAATTCCTGGATCCGCCACTGATGTCGGGCCTTTCCGTCAGATGTCGTTTTCCCGACCACTGACGGAAAGGCCCGAGATGATGCGATTGGTCCGCTTCCCCAGTGGTGACGTCATGACGTTGCCAAGGATGCGGAATGTGCTGACGTATTAGTCCTCTGTTTTCGCAACCAGTTCATAGTTACGTCTTCATCTGTAGAGAGCGGGCGTGTTTTTAGTCAAGCAAGGAAAAAGTCTGATTTAACAATGAAAAGAAAGGTTTCAACGACGGATTTCGACACTGTGGATTTATTACGGGTACATGCCATCATCTGTTATATTAAATTATTATATACTAATATCCAACGATTAGGAGACGACCATTTGATTCGGGAATGGGGGGGGGGGGGCTGGCAAAAAAAAAATTCCGAGTCAGATTTTTTTTTCGTGTCGTTGAAGGAGATATTATTTATTTCCAAGAAGATTAAATACAGATTATTTATATACACTGTACACTGAATAAAATCTTACCAACAAATTATTTTTCTTCTTTCCAAAATCTGCCCCCCCCCTTCAGAATCAAATGTCGTTCCCTTAACGATTTTGTACAGTCTAGACGGGATTGCAAATTATTGCATGATTAATATCTTAATTTTATAATCGAATCAAATGGAGTAAGGGGGCGGTTTATGATGGTGTTTAACTGACTGTTCTAGCCTATATATAAGTTCGTAATAAAACCCTATAGAACAAAAATTCTTAACCTCTAACTACTCAAGATGTGTAGCACTTGATTTTTTTTTTATCAGTTAGAGGTAGGCTGGCTACTTACTAATAATAATTCAGGAGCTCTTGCAAGGATGTAGACCCTTTTCCTATGACACATTTTGTCTAGGAGTTATTCCCCCTAGCCGCCATATTGTGGGGCAACATTCCCAGATCCCTTCATTATTCAACCAAGTTCAACTTGTTATACTGGTTACTGAGGTAAAGATAATGCTATTTTTCTTATGAATATACGTTTGTTAAAGCCTCTATTAATTCATAATTATAAGATTGGAAACATTTCCCCCCATATATTTCTTGCATGCGCATTTAAAATTGGTTGCTCAAAGAGGTAAATTCACTACTTTGCCCTACAAGAGTAAGGGGAATAATAGGCAAAATATGTCACAGGAAAAGGGTGTATAACCTGCAAAGTGAAAATAATATTTTCATTAGTAGTTTACGATATCATTGTATTTCAAGATAGAACGTTTTTGAGGATTTATTTTTCTATGAATTAATTTTTTAAGAGAAAGGGTATAACTTTATAGAGAAAACTATGAATTGGGTGGCAACTGATATTTTTTTTTAACTTTGCTGTTTATAATTTCAGCCAGCAAAAAGGCGCAGACTAGACGACGATAATCAAACGGATGGGCCTGGTGCTGCTGCACCCTGTCACCAAAATCAGGCCGCAGACAGTCATTTGATACTGGCCAAAAATGTCGTGTCATCTACTCAACATGACTCCAGAGAGAAAGAAATACTCCATGTTGCTCAAATGGAAGACAAGCAGACACCTAATGCTAACTTACAAAGTGAAACTGACAGAGTAGAGAACACCAATGTGCCTGTGGACGACCAGAAAGAACAGCCCTCACAAATCAACAGATTTTTGCTGTGGCTTCTAAATATATACCCCAGCAAACAACGAGTAGTACTGAAACCGCCACCAATACCACAACAAAATGAGCTGAATAAACCAAGCCTCAGTAATAATGGGGTAGGTATACAGATTTTTTTTCAACTTTGTCTAAAGTCTATCATTTCGTTTTATTTATTTTCAAAATTGCTATAACTTGCTATTTCTCTCAAAAATAAAGCTTTCGTTATCTGAATTTGCAGGAAGGAGCAACAAAAGTATGCGAGGACTTTCCTGGCTCGTCTTCTGGTCTGACAATACTGGCCCAGACTGCATTATCAGCTGATTACCTTTCCAGTAACAGTTACCCAACAAAAAGTGCAGAAACTGACACAAAGACAATCACCGAAGGAGTGAGAAGTCAGCCCTCCAAACTTGACCGACTTTTGTCTTATCTTATGCCTTCTGGTTATCCTTCTGAGACAGGACCAGGGTCATCAACCAAATCAGTCTGTCACAGGGAGGCGGATAAACCGAGCGGCAGTTCTCAGGTGAGTATTATACTAGTAGTCACGTGTAATCATATTACTAGTATTTTGTTAGTTACATTAATGAAATATTACAGCGGTATAAATATGTGACATTTCTTTCAAATCTAGCCAAGTCATAAAGGAATGCAGGTAATTATGATATATTTTTCATGCTTTCATTATCTGTTTTCAGTCAAACACCTCTGAAAGTACAAAAAAACGTAGAAAGGGCGTGCCACATAAGCGACCTTCCTCGTCCTCTCAGACCGCCTCGACTGAGGGCGTACCAAACAAAAAGGTCAAACTGAGTGATAAAAGTAGTTCCATCAAAAAGGCGAAAGAAAAAGTTAAAATCAAGCCACCTCAGTCACTTATTGGGCAATACAGGAGGAAATCTGAGGTGCCTAGGGTAAGTCTTTTGATGTAAATTTCTACTGTATACAAGTTTGGACAAGGACTAAAACCTCTCTCTTTCTCTCTCTTTCTCTCTCTACACATTTCCTGATTTTTCTCTTTCTGTGTCGTTCTTTAGCGACAGCCTTTCTACAACTCTCTGATCGCCAACTGGAGGAACCAGTTGGATGAATGGGTAAGACTCTATACAGAGAAAAATTAACATCTTTTTTTTTAATTAATACTACAATTACATATCTTTGATTTCTTTCCTTTACTCTGTCTTTCATACATTATTGGTTCTTACAATACAAAAAGAGCAAGTATGTTAAAAATCAAGCCAATCACCTATAAAAAGTAAAAAAAAAAATTAAAGATGGGATTTTTCTATGAATAACACTTTTTTTCAGAATGAAAAGAATCGAGAAATTGATTCCAAAGATGCTCACAAAATGAAGTACCCCTCTCATCTGGTGAGTCATATACCACCTGAACGTTTTTTTTAAATAGTGGGATTTTTAAAAATTATATTTTTTTATCCATAGGTTAATTAACTTTAAATTTTAAATTTAATTAATTTAAATAAATTCTTTATTTCAGCATGAGTGGTTAGAGAGAGTCAAATTTAACCACACTCGCAAATGGCAGACGCTCAAGTATTCAGAACCAAAATGGACAGCATGGCAATTAGCACAAACCAACGGTTCTCCCAAACGTGCTTAAGTGAGTGCATTCTAAGTCTGGATGACAGTAATTATACATGGACGTGGGCATTAAAAATTCTAATGAAAGGAATCAATTTTTATTATATGGCTGCTATAGTTTAATTTTTTTCATATATTTTATTTTCCTTTTTTCAGATTTGACATGTCGATGGCGGCCCCAAACTTTCCTTCCGCCACATAAAACTGTGCAATATATTTATGAACTTTGGTGCAATCATCACTGTGCCTGTCTGCAGGGCTAACAGTCACGTGTTATTTTTTTTTTTTACGAGCACATATTTTTTATTTTACTACTGATTCTCATGATCATGATGGCACCGAAGAATGAGATGATTTTTTTGGCTTTGCGTTTTGTTTGTTTTTAATCACACATCCGTCCTTTTTATCATGAATTCAATTTATACATTTGTTGAGAACTGTTTTATAAATAAAACTTTATGCCTTTTAGAAAAGAGTTCTTTCTTACAGGATTTTTTGTAACTATCTAACAACGAATGCAGAACCTTTGCATGAATTGATAAAACTTGACCAGTACAAGTCCACGAACTTTTTGATAACTGTCCTCAGTGGTCCTTCCAGAGCTTAAACGCGCCCCCTGGTGTCCCATCCAGACTTAATGAAAACCAGGACTATGTATCCAACAATTTAACTTGAAGAATTTCATGCGTTATTTATATGCCTTCTTTACGTTTACCGATTCAAAGAGCATAATCCATAATATCACAGAAATTACACATGGATTTCTGCTACTCACTTATTTGTGCATTTTTATTATCACAACTGTAGATATTCCCCAAGATTATAAGAGGCTTAATTGATTTTGCCAATTACTTTCTTTGTGCTAACACCAGTCGCTTATTGTCATCTGCTTAGTCAAATTGCTTATTGCCTAATGATGTGTACTAATTGCCTATTTCTCAATAGAATGAGCTTATTGTTCTTCTGCATTACTAGCCTTATTTTCAGCTTTTGATTGTCTTTGCACATTCCTAGTGCTTTATTGCATTAGGAAATAAACATTGGGCATAGTAATTTTCAATATTAATCAATCACTTTGATTTTTTTAGTAAACCTTTAAAAAGAAATAATCTATTGACAATGAAAAACTTCTATTCTAACAAGTCTATTCAATACAAAAAAGAAAAAAAAATCATGTATAAGAAACTCCTATGCAGAAAAAAAACTGTAAGAATCCCTAAAACAGCTGCATGAACATATAAATGACAATAATTTACATACTGATACATGAAGTTTTCGCCAACTGTATCCTTTGTTTTCGGACAAAATATTTTCTCTTCCTGATACATATTCTCTGAGATATGAAGAGGTCTTGCTCGTTGGATGTCATGTACGATCTGTTTATATAAGACAGAACGCTTGGCATTTCCTTTTAGGGCTTTACCTTCAAATCCTATTTTTTCTTAAATGAAATATGAAGGTAACAAACAGGAATTAAGCTCAAAAGTCTGTTGAAAGTTTGAAAAAGATACCTGCTGAGAGCAGAGCAAACAGGGACCCCAAAAAACTTCAGAGGTGGGATCACGTGCCATGGAGGAGTAAGCATCGATCGTTTACATCCATTGTCATCGTGTGCTCCTTGTCACGATCGTGCTACCGGGAAAATACATAGACGTAAGGCCTAACAATTTATATAAAAATCAATTTCTGACCTAGACCAAAGAAAATAAATGAAAACAATGACACCTCTGACGTCTGTAAAAACAGAATAATTTATATTCCAGCAGCTTCAACATCCATGACAAATGAACAAGAAGTATTTGCTTGAATTATGTAAAAAAAAAATCAAGCTCAGAAGTCCAAATCAAAAGCAGAGCAAACGCAGACCTTTAAAACATCAAAGATGGAATCAGGTGACATGAAGGAGTAGGTACTCCCTTTCTACGTTCTGAGCTCCTTGTAAGAGTCAGCATTCGACTTCAGGATAGATAATTTGTAATCGCTGACAAGCTCAGTGTATCGAATATAGAACTTGCTAAATCGAGATTGTTCAGTGATATCTTTGTTCCATCAAATCGTTTGTCAATAGCTTGCATCGTTTTGGAATTTTTTTCTAGAACAGGGCATGTCCTTGCGTGACGAATCAACTGGGGGAAATGTAACCCAACATGCAGGTGATCGGGGAATAATGCTGCACAAGTAAGGGAAGCTGACATAGAAAACATCGGTCATAATGTTTATCATTATTTTTTTTTTTTAGATTTCCATAAAGTTTTTTTTTCTAGTAAAACATTAAAACATAAAACAGATGTGTCAGTCACTAAGGAATCCAAAAACTACATATACGTACATGTCTCCCGGCTTATTCGTTACTTTTTAAAAGACTTTGCTTAATGCACGTCTGTACATCTAAAGCGATGGAAGGCTACAGCTAATGTTGATGTTACATGGATTTCAACAGCTGCTTCATATTAAAGAAAATATTTGCTTATAATGGTACTCATTGAAATTCCAAATTCCAAATTCAAATGATTTGTTAACAAAAATAACCTATACGTACATGGCAGACCTGTTTCATACCAATTTTTAAAAGACTTTGTTTTTTACAGAATTTGACTAAAACGAATGTTCACTAATAATTGATTTATACACAGATTTCACGGCGGGTGTGACAACATTTTGTAAATTTTATGGTCGTTATAATGACCTTGTTAACAAAAATAACCTATCGTTGAGTGGCAGACCTGTTTCATACCACTTCTGGATTTTCCATGAATGTTCCGTGTAATTGATTTTATGTCCTCTTCACATATTGATATTGTTTATGGTTATGATATTGTTTATGGTTATGATATTGTTTAAGGTTATGATATTGTTTATGGAACTATGATATTGTTTATGGTTATGATATTGTTTATAGTTATGATATTGTTTATGGATTTTTTGAGGTCGATCACTGTACAATGTCTACATACCCTTAACATTTTCCAAATGACCGTTAACATTAAGATAAGTAAATTCACGAGTTTTAATTTTTTTGAAAAGGCAGTTGTCTATGCAAATTATCCCACATTTGTAACTGTCGTTGATGCCCTGGCATACCCAACAAATAGACAGTGATTCCATAAATAAATTCTACAAGCTTAAGGTGACAAGATCTTGGTATACTGCAGTAGATGAACGATGTGCCTTCAAGGCTGTATTTAGTTACTCGTATATCATTGAAATAGTTTGGTTCAGGAAAAAAAATACTCACAAGTGATGGATAAACCAGGTGTTCAACTCTGTTTGTTTTGGTCTTTAGTCTCTTCTTCTGAAAACAAATGCATTGATGCAAGAATTTGAAATGAATGTGAAGCTGCTCATGCACCTATTTTTCATTTCTTTAATTACTTCTTTCTCAGTTCTGCGTTGCTATTTCCTTGGTTATCACTTGAAATATGATTAGTGCAAAAGAAAAAAAAGTCTTCAATACTTGTAATTTTAGAGGCTTGGGAACCATTTTGCGTTGCTAAAATATTCTTCAATTATGCTTTTGTTATTATTTTAAAGTTATAAAAGGGTATTTGAAATTGTTGAAAGTGTTGTTGAAAAGTGGAGATTGCAATTTTCATGGCTAAAACCTGTTGGTTCCATCTATTCATGTATCAGATGTGACATTCACAATCTAAGGGACAAATCAATATATCAACCATAAAAAATCTCCATAACGAACAGAATGGCAGCAATTAGTGGATCCTAGGTCATATGTTTAGTTGTTTACTCAATATTTACTGTCGAATTTTCACATTATCTTCTCTACCTTATTGAACTGAGTTTTTTTCTTTGTAATATACATGTGTATTGACATGCCATTACTGGAACTACTAGTAATACACTGCTTGAAACAGGATTTAACATTTTGAAGTCACGTTTTTTTGAATAAAAAGTATCTGCAATCGGGGAAAAAATTATCACATAGATAAGAGTGCTGAACCCCCCCAAAAATCATTTATTCTTTCATCTACAACTTCAGCTGATAAAAACTTAATTTTGATACACAAAAAAAGGAAGCTCAATTGATAATTATGCAAAAATTATCATACTCTTTTATTACTTCAAAAAAGTAAAATTGTAAATGTTCTTTTGAAAAGAACTCATTCACCCATGCCTTGGGTTCTTATAATTAGATAAGCCATCACTAAAAATAGTTCGACTTTGTGTAATTTTCTTGTTCTTAGAGTACTTGAAGAATCCCCTATGGTATACTAAACCATAACAAGATCAATATTTTATTTGATTACTTCACTAAGGAAGACATGAGTCAAATTCGAGAGAAATTATTGATGAATAAATCCACCACTCTTTCATAGAATGGCCTTACCGTGAGTGGACCTTTCTATATCAAACTTGGCTTGATTGTGGAGGAGGAATGGTTAAAAGAAGACAAAATTGAATGCACTTTTACCGTGTACGATTCATGAAATATTTGTATGCTTTCTCGAACATTGTCCTGCCATACTGAGATATTCCGTACAAAGAAAGTCTAGATTTATTTGTCAGCAACTCAGGTACCGTACACAGGGCAAACTAACCAGCTTAGCTGTATGACAAACGAGATGATTTCAACTTTTCCATCTGCATTTATGACGTAATATTCCGCTATCACCTGAATATTAACATCTCCCTAATTTGATACTAAAGAGCATGTTCCGACTAAAATCAGTTTTTAAACGGAGACAGCTACTAACAGATAAGTTGCTGTAACAGGAATTTCAGAAACCTAGTTTAAAGTCAGTGTTACGTAAATACTATTTGTCGTTATAATGGTCTTGTTAGCAAATATGAACTATCAATAAGTCCCATTTTGGCTGTTTTGTTTCATACCAATTGTTAGGTCTTGTTTTGGTACAGAATTGCACTGCGAAATATCCCATTTACTCATCAATACACAATGCTCATAGCGGGTGCGACCGGTCGACAGCTAGGGGATGGTTTCTTAATCTAGGCCACTGATTCCAACTCTGGAATTCCAAGGTGTTTATGCCCTCTTCATGGAATTTTATTGTTTAAAGATTTTTTTTGACTGATAACTTTTTTATTTTCATAGTGGGTATTAAAGCTTTGAGCAGATTAGTCACAAAACTGATGAACATGTACCGTATATAAATTAATAATAATAATCTGCAAAGTCTTATCTTTGAATTGTTTGAATTTTGATTAATTTTGAAAACACAAACTTAAGTTTTGGCTGTTTCCTGAAGATAGCACATTGAAGCTTTTTCATTTTCTGACAAGTTCATTCATTTGAAGTATTTCTTGCATAGTCTTCAAAACTGCTGACAAAGTGTCATAAAACGACCATTTATTAAAGACCAACTTGATGAATTTAAAATGTCAGATAACATATTTAAAATATTATTTTGTTGATATAATGATATATTGATAGGTTACATCAGTACATGTAAGATTTTGTGATACACTAAAATA